CCTTTGGGCGAGAGGAACTCTGAGGAAGTGTGAGGACTCTCCTTGGTCTCTCGAGCATGGGTGCCACTGGCTCTCTCCCCTGGCCAGGGGAGAGTGTTGCCATTTGTTGAGTAAAATCACTCTGTTATTACAGCTCCAGCTCTAAGACATCCAGATCCTCTAAGTTCCATGGTCCAGAGAATTTGGGGTGTTCTCCGTTTGTCTCTGCAAGAAAAACCAACCGAAGGGACTTTTTTCTTCTTTTGTGACAGTGTTTACCCTTTCAGTGGCTGTGACCCGATCCTTACCTCTCACAGTGCAAAAGGCCTTCCATGGTTAATTTAAGAAATACCTATTTTTCTGGGCAGTGCCTGTGGCTCAGTGAGTAGGGCGCTGGCCCCATATGCCAAGGGTGGCCGGTTCAAACTCTATCCCAGCCAAACTGCAACAAAAAAATAGCTGGGCATGGTGGTGGGCACCTGTAGTCCTAGCTACTCGAGAGGCTGAGGCAAGAGAATCACCTAAGCCTGGGAGTTGGAGGTTGCTGTGAGCTGTGATGCCATAGCACTCTACCAAGGGCAACAAAGTGAGAATCTGTCTCTAAAAAAAAAAGAAAGAACTATTTTTCTGTTAAATTTTTATATTAAATAATATGATAAAAACCAATTTTGCCTCCTCTGGTTGACATCACTTGTGCTTTCAGAAGCTAATTAGGAGATGCCCATTTTGAATTTTTTGATACCACTTATGAATGAGAAATATACATGGTAATTTTTCTTTACTGCTAATGGGCATTAACTAACATGCATCTTATAGAATAAAGTTCTCTTCCCTGCTACAATAATGGCTGTTTTGTTTTGACTTCAAAATTCTGGAATCTGTGTTCAGCCAACAGTAATTACTGCTCATTACAATAATCGTCACCATCAGCATGATCGGTCCCCTGGGGCACAAGTCAGGGCCTGAGGAAATGCGTTTTTATCTAGGCTGAAGGAGAATTTTACCTGAGGCCCAGGACAGCCTCCCTGGGAGCCAATTTGATGACTGATACTGGCAACTGTTAATATATTGAATTCCTAAGCCAGAAATTTTGTTTTAACTGTTTTCTGAGTGAAACCATGTTCAAAGGAACCAGAAATTTTGACTTCATGTTGGACAGTTTTTACAGCTCCATGTACAAAATAGAAACAAGAAGAAACATGAATAAATGTTAGAAGTTCGTCAAGCAAAAAAGGCAGTATCAGCAGCGACCCACACTACAGGGATGTGGAGACCACTCCACACCTCTCTGTCTTTCATCCCCTCAGGGTAACTCGCAAAACAATGGCTGGGAGAGGTGCACATGGTGGTTGACAGAATAAAACCATAAAATCACAGGATCAAAACAGATCTGAGGCTTGAGTCCCATTTTTAGTGTTAGAGTGAAGCTTTACTATGTGCTAAGCGTCAGGTGTGTTTGGAGTTCAGGGGCACGGGCCTAGGCTCCGTCCGGCAGGAGTCCCTGGTTGAACAAGATGGTTGGTTAGGGTCCAGTTCTCTCAGTAAGGTATGGAACTACGCCCAGATAAAAAAAAAAAAACGCATTTGCAGCAGCTTAACTAAATAGACTTATTTTCTTCCCAAATGTTAGCTGCAGAGGTAGGTGACTCAGAGCCAAGTCCGGCTCCAGGCGTCTCTGTACTCCACTGTCACTGACATGTGACTTCGCTCCACAAGCTGTCACTGGAGGCAGCCAGGTCGCAGCTCTACTCCCAGCAGCATGTGTGCAGCTAGGAAGGAAGGGTGAGAAGGGACAAAGGGAAGGTAAAACGCCTGAATCAGGAGAACAAAACCTGTCTAGAAATCTCTAGCAGACGTTTGATGTGTTCAGGCTACAACTGTGTGGCAAAGCCGCCCCGTCCATGAAGGACCATGCAGGGTGAGGGTCTAAGCCACGAATATTGCCACTCCAAACAAGATAGGGACTCTGTTGTAAGAAAAAAATGGGAGAACAGGTATGACTTAGCAACAAGCAGCGTCTGCCATAGACTAGTAAGTACATTGACAATTACACGCAAATCTGATCTGTATTAGATTTTCACAGATGAGCACAGGACTGTCTACCTTCTGGTTAGGGGAGGCGTCGGGGAGGGTCACTGAGTAACACTTGAACTGAATCTCAAAGGAAAAATGGAATTGTCAAAGGAGACCAGAAATGGACTGCTTTAGGTGAGACTAGGAGGGGCAAGTGGACATGGGAAAATGGTTGTTCATCACAACATTCTTAGCTGCCAGTGGCAGAGACGCCGTTTAAACCAAAAGTACGGAGGTAAAGCTTCAGGCATGGCTGGCTCCAGTTGGTGTCACCAAGATTCAGTCTTTCCCCATCCTGGATCATGCAGTAGCCAGCAAGCAGCCCTCAGCGTATATCCCATCCTGATCCTGTATGGATCTCATTAGAGCAACTTAGGCTGTGTCACTGTGACCTGTCACCTTGCACAGCAAAGTGACATACATACTGATGGGATGAGAGGGGTAAGAGGTGTAACTCACCAATGCTGACTTTGGTGAGAGGCAAGGAAGACTCTAAAATGACACTAGAATTCAGGCTTGGGGATACGGGTGTGACATTGGCACTCAACAAGCTGGTGACTCTACAGTGAGGACCAAGGTGGGGATGAGAGATGGACTGGGAAGGTTATAGGCAAAAAAATAACAAATCGCAGTAACCACACACCCTGGCAAGCCAAGGGAAAGGAACATCGGGGAGCAGGAAACAGATCTAGCATTTAGAACAAACTGCTGGGTTAGATTTTTCAAAACTGCAGTCCCATCTTTGTTTACATGGGCAACTAAAAACGCATTCATTTGAATATGCAAAACACTCTGATTTTGAAAATTTTCTAAACACTTCCTACCTCAGCTGTCACTTTCCGTTCTCTGATGTCTCCTTTCTTCTTTCTCTTGGTAATTAAAGTCATTAAAGCATCAAAACAAAGAGTTAAATTAGAAACACTTTGAGATGAACGGTGAATGGTGCCCACAGCCATAATGAAAAACAGCATCTAAATTTTTGAGCCCACATGAAGCCAACAAGCTGCCCCTAAGTCCAGTTTAATTAATGTGAGCATTCGTCTGACTCCAAAGTGTAGGAATAAATCTTCAAAGCCAGATGATTATTTTAAAATATGAGTTGGCCAGTATAACATGAGTTAGCATACAAGCAGATTAAAATGGTATTTTCATTTTGAATGAACACCGTTTAAGATTGACA